CACACAAAATATCTCGAATGTTAATTTAAAGATTATGATAAAAATTTCATAAAATCACGTCCAAATACACGTTTAAAATACACAGTGATTTTGTTAAATCATCAAGATATATTGTTAGCATACGATATAATCAACCGAACACGAAAGAACAATTAAAAATGTGGCCAGATACAGATCTGAAAATAATTTTGTTGCTATCAAAATTATTATGTAGAACGCTTAAACATGATATTGATATTGCAAAAATTTTTTTATATTCTAGCCATTCAATTTAAACATCCTGTATAATGATGGCTCAACAAAATTATTTTCACATCTATATTTGGCTAAATTTTTTAAGCTTACTGTAGCAAAACTATTCTTTCCGTGTGAAGAAAACTAAGAAAGAGTTAAAGAAGATACGATTAAACGAACATATAAATATCGGCATGGACAGTTTTCCTTTATATTCACTTACGTGTTGACTTTTTTCTTCTTCACAATATACCTTTATACCGACGAGATGTGTTCCTGAATACCAACAGATTACTATTAATTGCTACGCGCTATTCTGCAAGACATTCTTGCACGTAGATCTCGTATATCGGCGTAAGCGCGCTCGCGTTATTAATCCGGTATGCGCAATCCGACGATGTTGAAGTAGCGAGACGACGTCGTAGGCGAGCGAATAAACAACAAGTAAACGGTATATCTCCTCTGGGAGGGACGGAGCTCGGCCGACGGGGGAGGGTTGTACTTTGTCCGCTCGTCCATCTCTGTGTCCAGATGACAGGTGCAGGGAGCCCTCGTTAGACAAATTAAGCAACCTTTCTGGCCTCACTGGTGCTGTCGTATGTTATATCTTCGTCTACTTTTATCTCCCATCCATTTTCTCTCTCCGCATGCACGCACGCATGCACGTACGTACGCACGCACGCACGCACGCACGCACGCACGCACGCACGCACGCACGCACGCACGCACGCACGCACGCACGCACGCACGCACGCACGCACGCACGCACGCACGCACGCGGGCACATTCGCACGCACACACGTGCGCGAACAGTTCGTCCGGGACTGGTTTCGAGTGGACTGCAAACACTCGTGTAAGCAGCAGCAGCAGCAGCAGCAGCAGAGGCAGAGGCTCGAATTGTGTGGAGACTGGGCATAAGACGAGTCTCCGGATCTGTACGGCTACCGTGACAGAGACACCGATGATGCAGTCCATCTCGAGCCAGCCAAGCACAGCCCTCGAAATTATCTTTTAACTCTTTCGATACATCGCTCTCCTAGATTTCGTGACGTATTGCATTTGCACGCGCGAGACTGCACATTCCTCACACAGGAGAAAAAAAAAGAATAGTCTTGAGTCAAGATAGATGTTCTTATGTATAGACGAGACTATTATAATTTTCACATAGAAGATCTTTAATCTTGAGTTGAGCAAAAGTTAATACTTGCACCGATACAAATTCAAATTCATCAGATCAAGACCAAAATTTTTAAGAAGATTATAATATTCTTGCTTATATATAAGAATATTTGTTTTGATTTAAGACTAAATTTTTTTTCTGTGCAGCATCATTTTGAGATCAACCATGATTTTCTAAGTGAAATTATATTTGATTGCGGATAATTCTGATAGTAAAATTATTATAAAATGCACTTTCTCTCTCTTTTTGTTTTAAAAATGTCAAGAATTATTAAGTAACATTTAAGTATCGGAAAATCCTTTTTCACTGAACAGAAAAACTAAAATGTTTAAACTTCAACAAATTTTATATTTGATTGCAACTCAACGGAAACTCTTGGACTACTTAATACCTTCACACTCTTGAAGATTGAAACGGATAACAAGATTTCTAGAATAACAATTAACGATTTTGTATTAAAATCATTTTTAACGTACGTACAGAAATATTTTCTTGTTCCTAGACCTATTTTCTAATGTGAATACGCGCGTTTTTACCAGGTTTATCTAAGCTGGTGCGAAAATTAATTACACCGACGTAGCTTCCAGCGTTAACTTACCGGAAAACAGATATAAACCTAAACGCGTAAGTGCTGTATACACGCGTGAAGAACTCTAAAAGAGGAAGAGAGAATTGAAAGGAGACAAGACGAAAGGTGCGCGTCTTCTCTTCTGCCGTTTCTTTAACCGTTCATTCAGTCCCGCGGCCTATTCACGGTACGTTTATCTACCTGCGCATCATGGGATCCCCCATTAAAGACGGGTTCCATTCACCTACGCGTGCAATGACGAACTTATCCCTCGGATCTTGGCAGGCAGTCAATGTCCACGGTTCTCTTTTGACCCTCGCTTCGAGACGGGCGATGAGAGGAACATTTGATAATCCTTGACGCCGAAAGACAGGCGGAAATTTAATCGCCATTGACTTGGTTTTTCAAAGAGGAAGAAAGAGAGGAAGTTACGAGAATTACGCTTCGCGATAGCGTCGGATTCGCATTTCGATTACTAATAACGCGCGGCTCGACGGCCAATAAAAACTTGGCTATTAACGAGATCTGCCAGTCTCATTGCCGTACATCCGCCTTACAGTTATTCTCTTCAGTTCACGGATGCATAATCCCGTCGTATATGAT